GATACTTTTTTTCCTAACACAAAATAAATATGGTACTTTGGTTGAAGATCTTCCCCAAAAATATAGAGTCCAGGGGCAGACCTGAACACAGCAAAAGATTGAGAAATTTAGGCAAAGAGAAGATGAACATCTGGAATTTGGGAAAATGAGGTTTTCTAGCCAAAGGCTCTGCCAGGAAAGATGCTTAGACTGGAGTTCTGTTTGGATTGGTCCATTTGGAGTTCTCATTAACATAGCTTCACAACACAGAGATGGCTTGTATTGCTCCTCCCCTTCCCCACAGCCAGAAATGCATCTGACCCTAGGTCAATGCACTATCAGTGGCCTTTATCTCCACTATGGCTTCAACTGACAATTGAGAAGTGTTCTAGGATCCTTCCCAGAGGTTAGAACAAGGGAAGGGTAGCCTTTACTGTTCTTTGAAGTGCTAGAACTTATGTTGTTTGTGGGTAGGATTGTAAGATTTTGCAAAAACAACCAACCGAACAACTACAACAAAAACATAATTCCATGATAAATTTGAATTACAGATAAATAACAAATAAAATTTCAATATAAACATTTTTCATTAAATAGTTGGCAACCAACTTCTACAAAAATATTACTTTCATTTACCTGATATTCAGTTTGAATGAGGCATTCTATATTTTACCTGGAAATCCTGTATGCAGAATATTTCAATCTACAGGTATCTTCCCAGAAAGTAGTTTGTTCCCTATTTTCAAGTTATATAGCAAGAGAAATAGTGTTCATAAGATTCTAGAACTTGACCAATATTTACTTCATGTTTTTGTTCATTGATTTTATGTATTTATTTTATTTTAAAATTTATACATACTTATAAGTGAACAGTGAAGTAAAAACCTCCAGAAATTTGTTCCTCCATAAAAGCAACAAGAGTATTTAAAAAGTTGTTGAAAAGCAACATTTTAATAATTCTGAAAATTGCCTACATAGTGACAACAAATCAAGGAGGGTTTACTAAAGATAAATGATCAAATCTCATTAATATTGGCAAGATTTGCAGTGATTTAATTTGCCTTATTCCCATACCCCTCTGTCAAACTTTTCAATACAGAGGCCTTAGGAGGAAGGGTCTTCCATAACCATAATGAAAACCTGCATCCTGGCAACCACTGAATGTGGTAGAGTAGATTTGGAGTTCTCCCAACGCACCTTTCTCAGATAATTGTCAGTATTTGACCCACGTGGCAGTATTCTAGAAATGTCCAATTGCGTAGCTTGCCTTTATTTGGCATGATTCAGACATCTTTCATTTTGAGCATCTTTTTCTCCAGGGGTTTGTTGAAAACAATCAGTGGAAATTGTTAATATCACAATAATAGTTGGAGCCAACACAAGGCTAACCAAAAAACTTAATAGAAAAAAATGAAGAATGAGATGTCCTTAGGGGAATTTTAAAAGCTCTAACATATTCTTTGGTATGTTATAATCAGCTTATTGTCGCTATGAACAAAATACTTAATGAGAACAACTTAGAGGATAAAGGATTTATTTTGGCTCAGTTTCAGAGGATTCAGTCCATGGATGGTCAGCACCATTGCTCTGGGCCTGAGGCAGAACATCATGGTGGAAGAG